GGGGGGGGGTTATTGAAGAAATAAAAAGCATACCTACATACAAAATAATATGTGTCTGTGAGAGGGCCAACAAGTTTGTTAGTGGTCATGAATGTGTATGTGCAAGCATAATACATGTATATTACGTGTGTATGTGCGAGCATGCGAGTACTGTGTGTGTGTTTTGTGTGTGTGTGCGCGTGTGTGCATGTGCATTTGTGTATGTGTGTGTACGTGTATGCGTTTGTATATGTGTGTATGCGTGCGTGTGTGCATGTGTGTGTGTGTGTGTATGTGAGTGCGTGTATATTATGTGTGCGCGCGCGTGTGTGTATGTGTGTGTGTGTGTGAGTGTGTGTGTGTGAGTGTGTGTGTATGTGTGTGTGTGTGTGTGTATGTGTGTGTGAGTGTGTGTGTGTGTGTGTCACATGCGTGATACGAGTGCACGTGTGAGCCCGCGCGCAAGCGGGTGCTTACTGTTTGATGAATGCACGTGTCCCCAACTCACCTCTCCATTGCACTGTGTGTAGAAGACATTGAGCGGCATCTGATACATCTCCTGTAGCCGCTGACATAGCTGCCCGAACTCCACTGGCCGCGACACGGACGTCACTCTGAGGGGGGACAGCAATAGGTGGAGTTAAGTTTCAGCTTCAGAGAGAGTTTTAAGGCACTGGCAACACAAATAGATCATCACATAAGAGCTGGCGTGTTTTAGTTTTAGTAGAGGTATTACAGCGCTCGCAACTGCATAAGGTCATATCATATGAGCGCCAGAAGATTAGAGGTGTTACAAGAGAGTAACAAACATAAAAGAAGAAGGAGGGGAGATAAGGACGATAGGTGTTTGATTGGAAATAAGAAGCAAACCACACCAGAGCACCCGCCAACCACCCACCAGCGTGCTGGCGACTTAAATTAGAGGTGTTACAAGTAACACACACAAAAAGAAGAAGAGATATAGTTTCGGTAAGAGTTCTAAGACATTTGCAGCACAACTAGATCATAATAGAACAGTTGGAGATTTAAAATTAGAGATGTTACAAGAGAGTAACAAACACAAAAAGAAGAAGAGATGTTGCTTCGGTAAGAATTCAACGTCATTTGCAGAACAATTAGATCATAGAAGTGCAGAAGACTAGAGGGGTTACAAAAGGTAACAAACACAAAAAAGAAAGAGGAGACTCATTTTTTTAAGTAAGTTTGTTACGGCATTTGCAACGTAATAAGTGTCGAAGATTAAAAGTGTTAAAAGAGAGTAGCCAACACAAAATGGAGTAGAAATAAGGAGGATAGATGTTTGATTCATTGCTAGGAAAGAAAAGAAGGAGCAAACTACACAAGAGCACAAGCCGAGCACCCACTAGGACGAGTAGACATCGGTCAACATATTTATTTGATGGATGACAATCACAAGTGCCAACTGGCTTATTACAACAACAATTGTTGCTTTTTTTTTTCTTTTTTCAAAATTATAGACCCTGACCTTTCCGGACCCCCCTTGAAACGCGCTTTTCTTGAATCAAGACTATTTCTATAATACAACAACGGGAAATACCCGATTAATATCCGAAAACCGTAAAATCGGCACCTCTCAACAATAATTGACCACCTAGACGATTGCCTGCAAGACAGACGAACGATGGGAAAGCAGGATAGATGCAAAGGTAACACAGCCTAAAAAATAGCTACACACACACGTGAGAAAAAGATTCCTAAAAAAACGGAGCGGTAACGACAGACGGAAAGGGTAGGAGAGGAAGCAATATGGTCTGGAAAACAGGAATAGAAACAAATATTCAATCAAAACTTTTCTGATCCCCAAAAACAAAAGGAGTAGAGGTTAAAAAAAAAAAACCCTTGCATTTTTTCAACCACTTGTGTGAAAGCCGAGAACGGGAAATGACGTGAAAAAGATATAAGATATTAAGACCCTAATTTCTCCACGGGGATCAATAAAAACGGATATTATTCAATTACAAAATGTACATATTTATTTAAAGTATACCTATTTTCAAATATTTCTTATCTATTTGTTTATTTATGGATACCTGAAAAAAAAAGGATTCAAATAACAGAGAAGCCCTCTTCAGCAAACCCTGCTTCTTACTTGAAAAAACGAAAGAATATTTTACACGTGCTCTAGATTTGCAGCCGACAGACACGAGAAAACCGCGGTCTTGGCGTCCTCAATCGATTCCAAGGCAACATTTGGCAGCCATACAGGCCAGTTCAGGTCTGCTCTAATTGTCCAAAAACAAAAAAACAAAAAATACACAAACAAACAAAAATACCACTATTATTCAGCCCAGAAGTTATGTTCATGCTTTTATTTGTTTGTTTGTTTGTTTGTTTTGGGTAACGAGAAGCATACTGACACAATAACTACAATTTATTTCAGGAAAAAAGCCAGATAGAAAAGAATTTAAGGAAAATGCAGAAGTAGGAACTCTTGAACGCCCCCCTTCAACTATCCACATACTTGAATGAAAGCCTGACTACAAGAGAAAAAGCAACACAACAAAAACAAAACAAAACAAAAGCAGACAAGAAGTTGGCAGGTGTGTATGCTTCGCTTGTCAAAGGAACCTGTACAGGGGAAACTTGTTGGGCTGGTTGATATTTGCTTCGTACTGTGTGTGTTTGTGTGTGTGTGCATATTGTGTGTGTGTATGTGTGTAAGTGTGTGTGTGTATGTGTGTGTGTAAGTGTGTGTGTATGTGTGTGTGTGAGTGTGTGTGTAAATGTGTGTATGTGTGTAAGTGTGTGTGTAAGTGTGTGTGTATGTGTGTGTGTGTGTGTAAGTGTGTGTGAGTGTGTGTGTATGTGTGTAAATGTGTGTGTATGTGTGTGTGTGTGTGTGAGTGTGTGTGTATGTGTGTGTGTGTGTGAGTGTGTGTGTGCGTGCAGGCGCGCGCGTGCGCGATATGATCATGATGTTGGTTTGTTACATAAGCAAATAATACTGTCCTTGACGCGGTCCATTAAGTTTTATGAGATACACAACAGCGTGCTCTGCGTGTACACAAAGCTAACAACAACAACAAAATAAGCTCTTATGTCAAACATCAGCTCTTGGGTCATGATACTTTACATTTCGTTGTGTCATGTCTCGGGAACTTTTTAAAAAATGCAAAGCTGTTTACTGAAGAGAGAAATCGCCAGCTCTAAGCAACCACATCAACGTATTTACGTGTGTGTACTTCAGTTTCCCTATACCGCTTCTTATTTTAGATAAGCACGTGATCACCCACAAGAGGGGCGAATGTAACTCCGAATGTTTTCATCTACATCCGATTTGGGCTCTCTCAACTGTGAACTTTCCGAAGGTCTTACATTCTTTCAAAATGCTACGTCGTCTTCAAAGAGTAAGGTCATGAAAAGAATATGAACGATGCCTCATCAGAGGGAATCACCACAATATTGCTCGATGCGTCATACTAACGTTCAAGGCCGTGGCAGGACATTACCAGGCACGAGACCATTAAAAAAAAACGTGTAGACAAAAAATGTATTTAAAAATGAATCAGAAAAGAGGGAGTTCGGGAAACAACTTTCGAGAGTTGTCGTTCGGTTGGATCGACTCGAGATCAGCCTGGTGAGATGGTGACACAGAGTGAAAGCGTTGAGTCTCGCATAGTATACTTCTTTAAAAGCTACTCGATTCGACTTTGGAGAAAAAAAAAACAGCATGCGAATTGTAAGGTTCCTTTTGGCGTAGCAGATTTTGAGTAAAGCACAACAGACCACCAACCAACCACACGCTCCTTCTCTATCAAGCATCGTTCATTCTCCTATCTTTTCCTTCTTTTCTAAGTACGTTACTCACTGGTAACACATAACTTCCACAGTCATGTGACCTGACTGTGTTGCAAATGCCGTAAAACTCGTACTAACACAGGCAACTGATTTGAACGGTTCGAGGGGGGGGACGGGGGGAGGGGGGCGCAGATATTTCCAAAAGACTAAAAAAAAAGGACTGTCATGACAAAAAAACAATTATGAACTCGTCCGAGATTTGCGCCTCATTCAACACAGTGATGCTATTCAAAATCCTTCTATTTAACTCTTATCATATATACGACGGGGTTAAGTATGTAAAGTGCAAAGTAAGCTTCTCAAACAACACAAATTCCGGACAACTACAGTTTGTCCACTCGGCTGACAGCGTACAGACGCGATTTCGAGGTAAATACTGTCCAGACAAACGGTCACATTCCCATTATAAGCTTTTACAAAGACACCACCCCGAGTCATTCGTCAAATGCATGAACTACAAAAAGGTTAAAAAAAAAACAGGGAGGAGAATAAATATTCAGGTACACTAAACGTCCACTATAATATTATAACGATAGAAAGTACATTATAGAACTCACAGACTGTCTTGCCGAAAGTGCAGAAAAGTCGTGATTTTGACCTTACCATGTGAACATGTCACTCCAACCGTTATCCCCCCCCCTCCACTTTCTCTCTCTCTCTCTCTCTCTCTCTCTCTGTGTGTCTGTCTGTCTGTCTCTCTCTCTCTGTGTCTGTCTGTCTGTCTGTCTCTCTCTCTCTCTGTCTCTCTCTCTCTCTGTCTCTCGCTCT